AAAAAAAAAAAAAAAAAACGTTCTAGCTTAAAAGGACAGCTAACGCTCTAAGTAATGCCTAACTATAAGGAAATTTTATTAAGCCACCTAATCTTACTTCTTTAGCTTATATCTACCGAACTACTAAGCGTTCTTCTTAAAATCCACTATTAAGGCTGCCGCCTATGCCTATAAGAACCGGATCTAAGGCGTATTCGGATCCTAATAGTTGTCTAAGGCCGCCTGCGCCCTCGTATATAAGCGGTTAACGGTATCCTAAAGCGATCGCGTAGGATTAGTGTTCGCTATATAAACACTCGTTAAGTAGCGCTAGAATGTCGTTATGCGCTCTTAGATATTACTCGAAGTAATAGGACCCTTAGGCCCTATATACTTATCGCTAGGACTATTAACTAGYAGCACTTAGTTAGCGCTTAATCCGATAGYACGAGAGAAGAGGTTACTTAAGCTAAAAACCGTTAGGCCCTAAGAATAGCCGACTAGCGGAGCAACCTTGCTTAATTAAGGAGCGTTCGCTTAACCTAGCGGATAGATTCTACTAGGGCCGGAGCGAGTAATTTTAAGAGAGAGGGCAATTGCCTACTAYAATCGTTCCTCCTTATCCTCCTTAGTTAAGTCTAGGATCTTAGCTTCTTAGATGCCCTATAATAGCTACTAGTTTAGACTACTATTCTAAGAGGAACTAGAAGTACTAGATAATCTCGTCTTAGTARAAGAGATAGAGATAATCGAYACCTCTCTACTCCTAGTATTATTAAGCTAACGACGCCGAGATACCGGAGTAATAGAAGGGCTAGCTTAAGGCTTCTTCTTAGGAATCTATATCTTCCTGCTCTTAACTATAGTTTAGTCGGCTAAGTTATACTCCTACTAATAATTGCCCTARARACAATTGCCGCAAGCTCCCTACTTAAGTCCTCTATAATAACACTTCTTAAACGGGCTAATCGTGCGGGTCTTACGACGGTATCTATAAGCCTACTTAGGCGCTCCGCCTAGCGCTTAAGAAAAAAGAGAGCCTAAACGCTACTATAGCAAGTAGTTAGATATATAGCCGATATTCGTATTCTATTCGATAGGGCGAAGGTCGTCTAGCTAATATTAGTATAAGGCCTCGATAATAGCGCCTAGCTTATAGATTTCGTACTTCTTAAGGCGCTCTTATAGCCTAACGCGCCTATTAAGAAGGATTAGGATAAATATTACCTTACGCATCTAAGCATCGGTAATACGTAAGAAGCCTAGGAYACTATCTAAGCTTATCGCACTTAGMTCTAAGAGAGTTACTAACCGTATAAGTAGCCGCTCCGAGGTAGCTRCTAGATTAAAACCGCCTTAACTACGAGGCCGAAAGACTAAGAGACTATCGTATTACCTACGAAAGCTTTRGGGGAAGTTCTCTAAGGAGCGGTTTAAGAGGGGATTAAAGGACGATATCTTATTATTTCCCTAGCGAAGGCTCGCCTTACTTACTTAACCGCTAACTTAATCGAACCCGAACTTCTCGTATTCTATACGAGTAGCTATCGCTACCGCTAGAATTACGGGTACTAGCTTCCGCTAAACGCTTATACTACGGCTTAGAGTGCCGTAACTAGGAGATTAAGGACTTAAAGCTTCCTTAATCGCCTATAGTTCCCTCTCCTTCCGGAGATCCGCCTTAAAGAGACTTAGACGTAGCTTAGAAGTTACCTTACCTAGAGATAAGCCTAAAGTAGYGTCTAAGTTACGAGAGCGCAGAGAGCGCCTTAAGCTTATAACGATATCGCTAGTATTCGCCGTAGGTCGCTTTCCGAGTAATTTCGCGCTTAAGGTAACTAGCGGGTCTTAACCGTTACCCTTCTTACCCTTATTGCCGTCGTCGCTCTTCTTAGATCCCTCCGCCTAGCTACGAGTTATACGCCTATCGCCTATAGCTTCTTAATATATATAGCTAATATAAGGGAAGACGTATATAATAGATAGAGGAAGGGGAAGTATTAATTAAGGGACTTAATTAGGGAAGGGGAAGATAGATATAGATACGGAGGAGAAGGTTAGTAGATTAAGAGAGCGAGTTAATATATACCCTAGCAGCTCTTAAGCTGCCGGATATACGTTACGCCTCGACGCTCCCGCACCCCGTATACTACTCCCGCTCCGCTACGCTATAACTACCTACTTAAGCCGAAGTAGCTAATCGCATGCGCTATATACGTACTGCTCTAAGCCGCTAGCTATATAAAGGATATAGCTTATAGCAAGGTAGAAGTAAACCCTACGTCTAAGCCTTTTACTTAAGCGATAGGGCTCTATAAAATAACCTATARGGACCCCTTAGGTCTCTTAAGTAACTCCTATAGTTTTAAGGGCAAAACGACTTAGTAGGGGARGATGTTCTTAAAGTCTCTACTTAAGAACTAAGCATATATGCCTAAGGCTTAAGTAGCTACGTAACTTAGGCAGGACTATATAGCCGAGGAATTTTCCCTTAAGTAGAAAAATCAATTAGAGTTCATCTATTATAGAACATCGGCCCATTTTCGGCATTAGTAAGCGAGGCTAGCTTAGTTTTGGGTCCAAGGGCCGGTGAAATTGAAGGTTGCCGCCCTCTAGGGCTGCCTTAGCTGTAGCAGGCAAAAATCTTGCATTTCCTATAACAACGGCAGCACGGCTGTCTAGGAAAAAGACATTCTTAGGTCAGTCAGACATTTGATCCCCCGGGATTAACTCCCCGTAAGGCTGCTGCTTTTTGTGCTTGTAGCCACCGGTTCGTAAGCGTTATCGTCGATTGACCACAAGGAGAGGGAGAGGCGGCAATCTTCAATTTCACTGGCCCTTGGTCCGGCAATTCCAGGTTTAATCCGTGCCTACCTACACTTTGGCCGCCACGATAGAGGAAGGAGTGGTGGATTAAGGTAAGCAGGTGTATTCAGTGGTTCTTACTTCACTGTGGACTCTGTGCATCACATCAACATACGCATCATCCAGCACCCACGCCAACATTTCATTCATCCATGGTGGTGACTCTAGCGCGGCTAGAGTGAAGGTCCGGCTCAGGCCGTAGCTGGCTCGATGCTGAAACGCGTATGGAAGCCTTCCCTGCGCCGCACCTGGAAGCTCCACGTACATTCGAGGGGAAACCGTGTCTTAATCCCGGCGGAAGAAAAGATCGAGGAGGAGACGTTGCTAGGCTACGCTGCGAAGGTGTACTATCCCGTTCGAATTGGACAAACATTCCAGAGCCGCTATCAAGTCGTGGGAAAATTGGGCTTTGGCGGAAGCTCGACTGTTTGGCTGGCACGAGACCTTCAGTGAGTTCTACGAGCCTCACGTTGGACCATGCCGTCCCCATCACTCACCCCTTTCAGTGAGTGTCAGTACGTTGCTCTCAAAGTCTGTGTCAAGTCCGCCGAATTGAGGGGAAGCGAGCTGGACAGGGAGCTGGACGCCTACAAACGGATCGCAGAATCCCCCGACCACCACCCGGGCCGTGGTGCCATACGCTCTTTACTCAATTCCTTTGATGTCGAAGGTCCGAGTGGGCGGCATCTATGTMTAGTGCATCCCCCTCTATGGGAGAGCATCCGCAAGATCAGACATCGCAGTCCCGTCGGAAGGTTGCCAGCTCCAGTCTTGGCATTGGTACTCCAACGTCTGTTCCTCGCCTTGGACCTGCTGCACACGGAATGTCACGTGGCACATACCGACATCAGAGAAGAGAACATCCTACTCGAAGCAGACTCGTCGGTTCTGACTCGTTTTGAGAGTGACGAGTTGAAGGAGCCCAGTCCAAAGAAGGAACTGCATGGCACCATCGTCTACCCGTCCCGCGAAATGGGCACACCGAAGGAGTTCGGCCTGTCTATGCTGTGCGACTTTGGTTTGGCCGTGCCGTTGGACGATGGACATGAGCATCGTGAAGTTGTCCAGCCCTGTGACTACCACGCTCCAGAAATCATCTTGGACATTCCGTGGACATATAGCGTGGACATTTGGAACGTGGGGTGCATGGTAAGCATTGATCGGCTTGAGAGCAAATCGCACAACTGAGTCCCATTTCTCTTCTCGTAGGTGTGGGATGCCTTCGAGGGCGAGCCCTTGTTCACCGGCCGCGATCCAGAATTCGGCACCTACACGGGGCGAGCTCATCTCGCTGAGATGACCGCTCTCCTCGGACCTCCACCGCCAAGTCTTCTTGCTCGGGCAAACCTGAGAAGCGAGTTCTTTTCTGACGAGGGTGAGAGAGAGGTTTCCGGAATCGTCGATGAAATTGAACTTGCTAACCACTCGCTCGACAAAGGGGACTTCATCGCAGATATTCCTAAGCTTTCACCTAGACCGCTTGAGCAACGGGAGAGATTCCTCGATGGGGAAGAATGCAGAGAAGAAAGGGAGTGCTTCCTGCGCTTCATGCGGAAGATGCTACAGTGGGAACCGGAACAGCGTAGCTCCGCCCGGGAGTTGGTAGAGGACGAGTGGATTCTAAAGTATACTGAAGGAGAGTGACCAGACTGAGGTATGGCGCACAGATCACGCCCGGCCGGTTTGGAAGACACCTATTCTCCACTCTCGGGGTAGTTGATGTCTTTGGGGGAGCGGCCCGAAGGTGTCGGAATTCGGAAGAAAGGCGTGACGGATGAGCACAAATACTTTCTTGACCGACTACCTACWGATCATGCACTGCAGACTGCACTACTACGAGTTTGAATCCCTGATCGCTTGGACTTGGCCTGAATTTTTGCTCCTTGGCGCTTGTTGTAAACAGAGATTTGATAAAACGCTCTGATACTGCGCGCAGTGACGRGCAAAGATGAACGAGGAAATCTGCAGAGGAGTATACTCACTGCATGTATCCAGTCCATCATACGGTAGGACTCTCACTTACCTCTCGGCCTTGAAAGCATTTACAYTCATGTGTTTCCAATTAGTGCCATCAATCGTTCGGAATAATAGGACGGGCAAATCACCTTTTGTGAGAGAATTCACCCTGCCCTCAACCAGCAATACCGAATGTGGATGCAGCGTCCGATGCAAGAAACCGGCTAGATTCCCGGCTGAGCTACCATCTATCGAGAGCACAATCGACCGTTACTGAGTTCTGACACGGGACATTCGCTCGACCCTGAAATCTCTCGAGCTGAAGCCAACCGAGAATGTGAAGGTACCGTCTGGAAGGACCCAATCCTGCTGTGAGATATCCCAAAAGCTCACATCCCTCCTAGTCAGGGCGAATGTCATCTTCTTAGTGGCCCCGGGCTCCAAGACCGCCTTGCCAAACCCTCTCAAGACTCTCAAAGGCGTACCAGACGGTGTCTCATCTTGGGGAAACGAAAGATAGAGCTGTGGTACCACGGAGCCCCATAATTCGCCCACATTCCCAACTTCCACGGAGACCGTTGCTACCTCGGTCCACAGATCTTTCCAACCTCCAGGAATCTTACCCATTGTTCGGTCTGGAGACGCTGGGAGGTGAGGCTTGATGTTGACATCCAGATCATGGCTCAGCTCGAACTCAGTATAAGACAAGCCGAATCCAAATTCGAAAAGGGGCTCAATTTCAGCAGCATCAAAGTGCCTGTAATCAATGAGTTGGCCCTCGGTGAAATTCGTACTCGGGTCTGTAGTCACACCGGTCAGATTCACGATCGGTGGACCATAATCCGACTCAATTTTAGGAATGGTGTAGGGCAGTCGACCAGAAGGCTCTTGCTTCCCCCAAAGAACATCGACAATCGCATTCCCGATTTCCTCTCCCGGATAATGAGCTGACAAAATCGCCGTAACGTTCTCATTGTCAGCCCAAGGCATCAAGACAACGCCAGGTCCATGGATCACGACGACAGTCTTCGGACATAGATGTGCGGTGGCTTCTACAACTGCTGTTGCGTTCCATGCAAGGTCCAAGCTCTCCCTGTCATAGCCCTCCGACGCCCATGCCTTGAGGAATA